TAGGGCCAGCCCTCAGTGAGAGCAAATCAAATGGGAGCCAACAGTGGCCCGGTGGGGAGGAGATGTCATATATTTCTAGAAACATGAACAACTGTATTCTAAGAGAGAAGAGACCCCTTAAGGACGATCTTAAGAGGTAAGCAAAAGTTTGTATTCTTTTTAGGCATTTGGGCAATCCTCTGATGACTGTGAAAATAGATTTTGAGTTCAGGGAGGAGGTCATATAGTTACATGAGAGTAACTAAAAACAGAGCCACAAACTAATAGAGGTTTCTCATAGAACAAATCATAAAATTTGTCATTTTCATTTTTACTATCTTTGTTTTCATTCTTTCCTAATCCTTGGTCCATTAGGTACCAACAAAAGAAATACTGTCAGCTATGCAGCAAATACGTTAAGTATTGTTTAATTCATGGCTACTTGTTGTATATTTTAACTGGCAGTATTGACACATTGGGCATTCCTTCCGTATTCGGTTGTGCTGATTCAACATATAAAAGAGGACATTGTATTTTGTTCAACGTTATCATTATTTATCTCTTCCAGGGACTTGGAGGCATTTTCCACTGAAGTTGGTGCCATGAAATTACTTTACCTTCTCATCTCGGTTGTCCTTTTTCTCTCTCAAGTCACGGCAGGTAAGCCCTATCGGGCATCTTCCTGTATGAGTTCCAATGAGTTTCATCTCCCTAAGGATGCTTCCAGGGAACAGTAACCAGGGTAGGGCAGAAAGATGTTAAAGGGAAAGTCTTCCAAATCATGTTTTCACACCAACCTTGAACTGTGAAGAAATGCTGACACCTACGAAGAAGGGGGAAGAGGCTTTTCCAACCATTCTGTTGATTCTCTCTTTGGTCTCTACTGATGGATGTAGCCTTGAACAGCAGCAGACTTCACCATTAGCTATGATTGGGAGGAAGCACATTAAAGTCTGGTTGCAAAGTCAGGAAGACAAATCTCAGTCTTTTTTAAGGAGAAGACATTCATACAATTGGAACCTTGGTTTTTTTGTTTTGTTTTTCTTGGTAAAACATACCACTTTTTTTATTTAAGTGAAACATCAAATTAAGAACCTTGGTTTATTAAAGGAAAATTAGGCAATTGTTTTCCCTGTCTTGAGAAAAACGTGCCAGGTGTGAGATGAAGGGGAAACAGGGTTGACTTTCAACCTAGTGTCTAGCCTGTACATCGTGATGAGGGGTTGTGTGTCATAGCGGAGCTTAAATGCCTTTGGAGAACTTTGATTCCTTGGTTTTGGAGGTCATTGAGAATTTGGATCTTGACTCCTACAGCAAGTGAGGTGTCATCCACCTCCTTAGTATTCCTGATCCCTTACTTCTTTATCCCATTATTAACCCTTTATATAAACACATAAAATAATTACATACTTCCTGTTAAAGGTTCATTGTGATTTACAGGGTACTAATTCAGAAGACAATGAGCTCAGAAGTTAGAAACAGGCTGGAGTAGTACCTTCCTTCATCCATGATCTGTCACTTTATATGACAGTAGTTTATTAACAATGACCCACTGGGAGTAAGTAATCATGTTGTTGTAACTCCAAACAGTGATCCTGCCTCAATTTCCTTGCTGAGCTAATTTTCAGTCAAGTAGATGATAAACTATGGGGGACTCTCCTGTGGAAGAACAGGGAGAGCTCTCAGCAGTTTTCGATATGAGACACCTGCTTACAGCACTTAGGTAGATGCAAGTTGTGTCCAGGAAGAACAAGGTGATGCTGCAAAGTTACTGAGTTACACTGGAGTGGTGATGACCCAGGACCCCATGACAGGCACACGTGGCAGGGGTCTCTGCTATGAGACTAGCTCCAGTCACTTCCTTTTCAGTGTGTGCACAGAATGGTGTCAAACCGGTTCATGGAAATTGGGCTGAGGTTAGGGTGACATGGAATGCGTAGACAATGCATTCAGCTCTGATATTGGTTTCACATATGCCCAGAAAGCTACTCTGAGGCTGGTGAGAGTCACCTCTGAGACATCTGCTTGTCTGAGTTCTGGAGTTGGTGGCTTCTGCTGACGGCTGATAGTAGACTAGCCAGGGAGCACCTAGCTGCTCACTCAGTATGAGCTTTCCTTTTCCTCCAAGCAAGAGGCAGGCAAGAAGCCAGATCCAACTCTGAGTAAGGTGCAAGTTATTTTTCTGCTCAGAAAACCTCCACCTCAGATTGTGTCTGTGATTCTGAGTCCTTTACTCAAAAATTAGTTTAGATCTACAATCTCTTCTTATGATGCATATTGTCAAGCATGGATTTATAAGCCCGAGACTTGTGTACAAATTTTGAATTGTTGTGCCTCAAAAGAGTTTCAAGCATATCATGTCTTCACACATTTTAATATCTGTCAATACAATCCTTTTTGGGAACCATACTATGGTATTATATTCCCAATGGTATCTTTTCCTGAGAAGATGAAATCACAAAGTCTTAATTGCATCAAAATGGCATTCTTGAGCAGTTCTATGAAAAAGCCCCAGTGTTACCACTGAGTATAAGAGTTCCATGATATGCTGGTCCTATAGGAATATTTCAAGATTCTTATCCTTCCAATTACAACTCAAATATTTTCATTTATAACCATCCCCTGAAGGCTGTAAACAGGAAGGAGAGACTGAGCGGAAAGATTCGGCACAGAGGGAAGGCGCCTTCATCCACAGTGAGTCCATAGGTTCCTGATCCTACTGGGTGGTGTCAGTTCCTGCCCAGGGAGCTTGAGAACTTCTACCTAAAGCAGCTTATTTTCCTTCCACAGATTATGAGCACCATTACTGTGATTCTCTCATAAGTGTGTGCCTGAGGAGGAAAACAAACTGTACCCGAATGCCAGGGTTGTGCCCTGGCAGGAGCTTCTGCTGTGTGAGAACCATGACCTGAGGGATCCATTTCCTGTCCTTCCTGAATTATATCAGATGCTGAGACTGCATTGTGACATTCTCTTCATTTATTATCTAATCCTTAAATAACCATTGATTACTTTCTGTGTATCAGAACAGTGCTAGTGAGCCACACAAGACCCTGTATCAGAAAAATAAAAGGCAAAAAAGAAAAGGTAGACCAGAAGTGATAACATGAGGGGGGTTAGTCATTGGAGATGTGGAATCTTGGAAGAAGACTTGATGAATAATGGACTCTTGTGGGAAATTATAGTTCCTGGAGTATTAAAGCATAATTTAGGTAGGAGGTGGTTATTTAAGAGACTCTGGGACTCTTCATGGGTGGCAGATGAATAGTATCAATTGGGGAGAAGACAAGGGTGGCAGAGTATTGGGGGGGGGTTGTTATCCTCTTGAATACCAACACTGAAGACATGGACACAGGTTGGACATCAAAAAAAGGCATTACAGAACAGTATAGAGAGCACACGTTCCAGGGGTTGAGGGTGCCAAAGAAAGCGGGAGATGAAAGAAAGCGAGGGGATTGAGGTGCAACCTGTGGGGCCTTCGCTTGCAGCCATCCTGGTAAACTGCTCTCCTATGTCAATTTCTTCAGCATCACAAAATTGTTGTAGAGCCATGAGGTTAAACATATCTTGGTAGTATCTTAAGTTCTTACGTCTCCTACTCTAGCCATGCTCAACTTGAATTTAGATCGAGCATAGCGTTTGGCCTCAGAGACTCCATCTTCTAAGTGGCATCAGTGGACTTTTAGAGGGTGGAATTTTTTTCTTACTGTCCTCTGATTATGAAGAGCAGGCACTCCAGGGCTGTTCACAAGCCCTACTGGTAATCACTGATAAATCCTTGATGCTCGGGGAAAGGGAGAGATTCTGGATCTTCTTAGGTCACCAGGCAGAATGTAGCCCCCTGAATTATAGAAAATGATTTACACTAAGGGGGAGATGGCTCAGTGGAATAGATGTCCCTAGTTTACAGTTGTGAGCCCTGAGTTTGAATCACTGGACCCACGTAAAAGCTGAACGTAGGGACCAGTTCTTGTAACCTCATCACTAGGCAAAGATAGAGGGGCAGGATCTCCAGGACAACTAGCCAGCCAGTTTAGCTGAAATGGAGTGTGCTAAAGGAGGATGACTCGTGCAACCTCTGACACACACACACACACACACACACACATATTATGAACACACATATACACATATGTAACACACACACACAGTGAAAAAACAAATCAGGTCAATAATTACTGATTATATCTTTAGATTTACTGCTCTAATAATAGGGGACATTTTACAGAATCTGAAATGTCTATCGGCTTTAATGTACCAGTGACTTCCTGTTTAATCAGACATTTCTGCAGGGAAAGGTACAAGATCAGTTTCTCAGGGGCAGCTCCTAAAGGTGCACGGACACAGTCACTGCTGACTGCATCTCTACTGTCCAGATATTCGTGTAACTCATTGTCTGAGGCACTGGGTTGGTTGTTTGTTTGTTTTCAAGATAGGGTTTCTCTGTAGCTTTAGAGCCTGCCCTGGAATAAGCTCTTATAGACCAGGCTGGCCTCAAACTCACAGAGATCCACCTGCCTCTACCTCCTGAGAGCTGGGATTAAAGGTGTGCGCTACCACCGCCCGGTTTAGGCACTGTTTTATTGATGCTAAGAAACACCACGACCAAGGCAATTTATAGAAGAAATCATTGAACCATGGGTCTTTTTTAATGGCTTCAGAGGGCTGGTCGGTGATCATCATGGTGGGGAGCAGGAAAGCAGGCATTGCTCTGGAGCACAAGATTCACAAGTTATAGGTGGGGTGGGGTGGGGTGGGGCGGGATAAGACTGAGTCTCAAATGGGCTTTTGTAATCAAAAAGCCCTTCCTCCAGTGACACTCCTAACAAGGCCATGACCCCTAATCATTTCCAAGCAGCTCCAGAAACTGGGGACCAAGCATTCAAATACACGTGTCAACAGGAGCTATCCCCATTCAAGTCGCTACATCAACAGTTTAAACGCTGAGTCTCATTGACAAGTTTGCTCAGCCTTGTGTTTCAATTCCACAGATGTTCTGGTTCAGGCTTTCCCCAAACTGAACTCCTTACCTTCTCTGAGATGAGAAAGGCAGCAGGAAGTGGGAATTTCAATATCAAGCTCCCTCGTTTTGGAGGCCAAGAACCTGGAAACACTGGACCCCAACCCCAACACCACCACATTCTCCCTTTTCAAGCTTACTGGCGTTTCCCGTAAAATTTACATCTTGGGAAGAGTACATATGTTTCATGATGTCTTTATTAGACGGAAATCAGAGCAGGTGCCGACACTTAGGCTGAACTGCGCATGTCAGTGAGCTGCCGTTACACCCTGCAGCAGTGTTTGTACCGACTTTTGCATTCAGCAGGCAGGATGGAGCATCCGTGCGTTTTCTGATTCTTGCAATGGCCACCCATTCTCTCACATTGTTGGAATCTCACATTTCTTTTGTTCCCTGTAAGAGAAAGGGAAAGAAGCGGTGAAGAAACAAACATAGCTTCATCCAAACAAAGATACAGTAATTTATTGGACCTAGCAAGGGTGGGCGGAATGGTCCACAAGACCCACACTAACTTTCTAATGGATCAGGTGTGACTTGAGCTGGTATCCGTTTTCTCATTCGCAGACTGTTACAAAGAATGTTAGACTTTATGAGGAGGCTCATTTGATAACGTGTGATTTCAGTGTTGTTGAACGAGAAGGCAGGAAGCCAGCCCGGCTTCCTCTCTCACTCTCCGTGGCTGTCTTTATGAGAAAGACAGAGGTGACTTGTGGTAGCTGAGGCCATGCAGCCACTGAAGCCTATTTTTTGTTGTTATTGCTTGCTTGTTTGTTTGTTGTTTTTCTTTTTTCTTTTTCTTGGTCCATCTGAAAGTCTGTGGTGCCTGTATCTTAGTTTCGTTTTCATGTGAAGACGCTTGGGTCAGAGAAAACACCGCACCTGATTGTGTTCCCAGAATGTGAGTGTGATTCACTTCCCTGCACGTGTCCTCTATAAAGCCTAAAGTGTCTTCCTCCTAGACAGTCACAACTTTCCTAGTGAACAGCAATTATCAGGAGGCACACAGTGAGAGAGTGACAGAAGGGGCATGCTGCTGAGGGTGGAGCGCGGTGCCTCCCCTGTGTGGTGTGCTGTGTGTGGTCTCATACACCGGTACATAACGAGTGTCAACTGCCCTATGCCCCAGTGAGTTAGGCTAGGGAGATTGAAGCCGTGGAGAGAGGAGGGTGAGTAGAGAGAACCGGAATCTTGACCGAGAATCAAGAAAGCCCAAGAATGAAGGACAGTCTTGAGTAAATGCTGTATCTTGTTTCTCTCAAGGTCTGTGGCTTTTCGATGTGCTGTGTTGTGATGGAGAGCACAGCAACCGGGAATGAGAGACTTCAGATCTAAATATAACTACACTGCCACTATAGGAAGAAAACAAAAACAAACACGCAGAGACAGACATCTGCTTCTATCTGTCGCCACCTCCACAACCATATCTATCATCAGTGAATATACCCGTCATTCACTTATCATCTATAAACTGTCAATCATCTGTCCATGTTCCCTTTACCCTTTCTCTCCCGTTAGGATGTTCAAAAATTGTTCTGGTTCTCTGTTATCTTGACATAAAAATATGATGATCCTATCTTTTGCCAGATATATATATCTGCTATGAGCCTAGTCCGTGTGTTTTGAACAGAAACAATGCCTACTGGGTTCTTAACTGCTACTGTGGTAGCTGTTACATGAGCCTGGACTGACGGATTGCTGTGAGCAGAGCACCCCTGTGGCCTGAGTGGATTTGCACCTCACCGAAGAAGAATCCCTGTGCTCTTTGTAAGATGCTAAGACTGGGAACATAGTTTCTCCATACAAGATCACCCAGTAAAAATGAGGCCATTTCATTAAATCTGAATTTTTATGTAGCTAAGAATTAAGCTTTTAGAATAAGCACACTTTAAACATTGTGTGGCCATATTCACACCAAAAATTCAATTTTTGTTTATCTAAAGCATAATTGTAGGGATAGCTCAGCCCCCTTAGGGGGCGTGTTCGCCTCGGGCTAATGTTTACATATAAATCTGGCAAGCGTGAGCCCACCGCCCTCTTTTTTGTATCTCCTGCTCACCGCTGGATCCCTGGTGTTGTAAGCAATCCCCTCATTAAAATTTGCTGTTTCATATTAAGCTAGCCTGGTTATTACACCGATTACACATAATAAATAAACTTATTGTCTAAGATTGTTGGAAATTTAATAGTATTTTCTGCAGAATTGATCTACTTTTACTTGTGAATTTTGCCAAGTATAGTCTCTGTCTCAATGTAGGTTATTCATTTCTACATCTCAGCTATGAAATATTCTGTATCTATTGCTGCAAAGAGTAAATTAGCTGTTGTATGTTTGAAGCCTGTACTGTGGTGTGGTGGTGTACATCTTATGGTGAGTTTCTTGACAGTCAGAGCTTATAATATCTGAAAAATCTGTTTTAAAAAAAAAAGGAGTCATTTGAGGCTGGAGAGATGGCTTGGCAGTTAAAAACACCATTCTTCAGAACACACAGGTTTGATTCCCAGCACCCAAATCAGGCTGATTACAACCACATGTAATTCCAGATTCGGGGAGTCCAATGCCTCCTCCAAAGACTTCATATTTAAAGAGAAAATGGATGGACTTAGTGTATGTAAAAAAAATACACATGTTCTACCTCTTATGCAGACTCTCTCTCTTTCTCTGAGTGTGTGTGTGCGTGCACGCGTGTGTGTGTGTGTGTGTGTGTGTGTGTGTGTGTAGAAATGGACTTGTGGGAACGGTAGAACAGGGATAGAAGACACAAGACTGAGTATAGCGGATGAGAAAGGACTGAATGTAGGCGGCCGACTTGAGACATGGAAGAGGACATAAAGCCAGTTGTTTTTCCGGTTCTCATCCTGTCATGGTTTTTTGGGGGGCTTCAGTAATGGCTGTCATGGTTTTTTGGGGGGCTTCAGTAATGGCTAAGAGTGTAAAATATATTCAATATTGAAAGTGTAAGATTTAATGTGAAGCTCCCCAGCTTTTGCTCTGAATGCCCTATTCTAACTGGATAGAGCTCACTGAGTCGTCTAGACCTTGGGTCTGCCTAATGCTGATGTGTGATGTTGGTATTTATTTGCAAGGCTTTTTAAATAATAAAGTTTAAAATAATAATAAATATTTAAAACTTTTAAAAAATGGTGTTTGGGAAGAGAAAGTGGCCATGATCATTTGGCACTATTGCTGTTTGTGTTGGTGTTGCTCTTTTCATTCACATGAAGTGATTTGTAATCTGAAAGACACATCAAAATATTGTCTGTCACAATTATTAATTATTACCAGGTAAAGAACTTAAGGATGTCATTTTTTAAATTTCTTTAAGCTTCTCTTTGTAAAGTAAAGTATTTCCTACACACCACCTTCATTTCTCCCCTATCACCATGATAAAAGTAACTAAAGGAGACAGCAGCCTTCATTTTAGCTCACAGTTCAAGCTACAGTCCATCAGGGCTGTGAAGTCGCATGAACAGGAGCTTCAGGGAGTTGACCGTGTTGCATTGAAGAAGCAGAGGGGCAAATACATGCCTGTTAGTGCTCAGCTTACGTCATCCTCTCTGATACAGCCCAGGATCCATTGCCCAGGAAGCACAAGGCTCTTCCCATCAGTTAATGTAACAAGATAACCCCCAACAGACATACCTAGAGGCCCCTCATCTACACCATGCTGACTCTGTCAAGTTGACAACACCAGTGACCAGATACATTATGTATCTTATAACCGTGTCCTATTCTTGGAATCTATTTAATTTCATGCCTGAATTAGGAGTTTGTTTGGTTTACTCCAGGCTTCAAAGTCATCTACTGCCTCACCCATCCAGCTGGATTCACAGCTTACCTAATACTTTCTGAGAAAGACATATAAGAAGGAGAAAAAGAAGAAACAGCAGCTTCATGGTGAGAAGTGAGTTCCTGGCATGGAAGGAGGGAGCGGCCGTGCCCGAGTGCGTTGACTCCTTCTTCAGAGCACATCAACAGCAGCAGGTGTCCTGGGGAGCTGGAATGATTCAGCTAGAAGGAAAGCGTATAGTCTTAGTGCAGATGTTCGAATAGGACCGTGGTGTGACTGGGGAGGTCTTAGCTACAGAACTCATGATTATAGGCCCAAGCTGCCCTCTGTCAAAAACAGAAGCATTTAGCTGAGCCTGCCACTACACGTTTGTAATTCCAATGCTTAGGAAGTAAAGGGCAGGAGGATTGGGAGTTGAAGCCAGTCTGCATGTTACAGTGGGTCGCAGGACAGCACAGGCTACATGGTGAAAACCTGTCTCAAGAAAATCAAAATCAGCAAGCAAGAAAAAACCCCTACATTGGGTTTATAGTAAGTCAGGATTTTCCAATGGGTTTCGTTTCTACTCGTGATTTGAAGGACTTGTGTTTAGTTTTCATTTTACTTTGTTTGTTGAGACAGAGTCTCTCTATGTAACACTCACTGACCTCACACTTGCTGGGTTGACCCGACTGGCCTTGAACGTGTAGTGATTCGCTTGTCTCTATCTCTCAGGTGCTGGGACTACAGGAACACACACACACACCCTCCCCAAGAAGCTAAAAATTAGAAGAGACTTTGTAAATGGAAACTCCCTTCTTTGCTTATTGAGTTTCACTATGTTATGCTAGCCAATCGAGAAAGGCTGCTCCTGCACAGGTCCAGCTGTCCCAGCGGCCAGCTCTTGTATTGCCCACAGCTAGTGAAGCATGCAGGGACAAAAGATCCTTAATATTGACGCTGCATCAAAGCCGTCAATACATAACAGAATAAATGTATGGGCAGACGGAAGAAGACGGCAGGGAGATGAAGAAATGTTAGAGTCCTCATGTTTGTGTCCCCTGAAAAGCTCCGTGTTGAAAAGCCAATCCTAAGGAGTAGGATCAGTGAGAGTCCAAGCATTGGGATCAGGGCCCTCGTTAGATAGATCCATGCCCTTACACGGATCTGCAGAAACAATCAGGGGGGTTCTCAACTGCTGTGACTATGAGAAATGAAGTGTGTGTGTCTGTGCATGAGTGTGTGTGTGTGTGTGTGTGTGTTGCAGCGTCTTGAAGGAACTAAGACACTAAGAAGTAAAGGAAACAATGGAGTGAGAGGAGGGAGGGTTAGGAACTAGGAAAGGGATTCAGAGGCCCAAAACAGTTACTAGTATTGCCCTACACTGCTAAGCTGATTCCTGGTTGCGGAATCAAGGGAAGATGGTTCCTGAAATGTAAATATCAAATAAATTGTTCCGCCTCTGAAGTAGGCTGCATCTTTAGCGGGTAGGGAAAGGGGAAGCTTACCTACAAGTTAAAATATGTAGTTAGATAAGCCTGGGTACAAAGACCACTTTGCCACTCACTGAGTGATGCTTTGCAAATAGTTTGCCCTTTCAACACTTTATTCCTTCCTGGGCTCTTGCCGCACAGTTGAGTGTGTGGGAAAATGAACTCTGAGCACTCAGCTTCTCTTCTCATTGGTCATGTTGATGTAGCGCTTCCTTCTCTACATTCCAGAGGGGTGACTTAGGGCAAGCTGGTGGTGGATGGAACACCTCTTCATAAAGAGTGCTTGGTTTTACCTGAGATGATGGCTAGGCATTTCAGAGTGAGCTGCAAAGGCTTTCGGGAGCCTCTCAGCAGGGCTTTCTCACAGGAAAGCTAGGTGGTCTCAGAAAACGGGGCAGGAGGGGAGAGAAATTCCAAACTAAACAAGGGGCAATCTTTTGCAGCCCATAAGTGAAATGTCAGTAGGGAAACTGTTCATGTGGGGTAGAGAACTTAGAAAGGGATTAGAATTGCAAACACAATTTCCCCTTGGTTTTTCACTTCTAAATAGTGTCAGAACTTAATAGCTTTATCATTTAACAATATGATATCATCACCCATCACTCGAATAAGAGGATTTTCTTAAATAACTTTATATTCCAGAGTCTTAAATATGACACTTAGCTAGAACATTCATGTAACATAGGTACTTTCTTCCAGCATGATAAGATCCATTTCAAAAATTATACTTATTAACAGTTTCTTTGTTGCTAAAATAATACTTGAAGAATGAAGGACATGGCTACAGGAAGATTGTGTGTATGTGCACGCATGAATGCATGCATGTACATGCTCATGTATGCAAATAGACATGCCTAAGAACTAGAGAGCATAAGAGTAGAGAGTGAGTAGGGTCATGTAAGGTCAACCTTTCTATCAGAGGGAAAGGCCATGGCAGCATGGTAGATTGTAGTTGGTTGAGATGCTAAAGCAAGGTTGCCAAATTAGTAACAATTTAAAGAGAGGTGCATTCAGGGGGCTGAAGAAATGGCTCAGTGGTTAAGGGTACTGACTGCTCTTCCAGAGGTCCTGAGTTCAATTCCCAGCAACCACATGGTGTCTCACAGCCATCTATAATGAGACTTGGCGCCCCCTTCTGGCTTGCAGGCTTGCTGTACACATAATAAATAAATATTTAAAAAAAAGAGAGAGAGAGAGAGGTGCATTCTAGATTTCAAGGTTTTATTACTGATAGTTGCTGTGGAACAAGAGAGTCAGGGAAACAGAATAGAGTGCTGCCTGATCTCTAAGTAAACCTCTCGTTTACTAAGTATATCCCTGCATTGCAGGGTCATTCTCTCTCCTGCCCATCCCCAACCTCTGGAAATAACCCCAAACAGTGACTGACCACAGTGGTTTTCTAGGGCATGGTGATCATTGATGGTGCTGGCACACTTCCCTTCTCAGCCTAAGAACTACAGGAAGGCGAGATCAGAGAAGAGCAGTAGTGAATGCCTGGGCCCCACTCAGAAGTCATCACTAGAGTTTAGAATGTATCTCCAAGTTTACAGCAACATCAAGCACACTTCACTCTGAAGGGCACACTGTTTGCAGTGAGTCCCACAGAAACGGTGCTGATGCAGGGTTTTTTCTTTCTTTTTTTTTCTTTCTTTTTTTGAGAAAAATTACTCCTTTTATTTAAATAAGAACATAATTTCTTTTTTTCTTTCATTTTTTTATTGATTTTTATTGAGCTCTACATTTTTCTCTGCTCCCCTCCCTGCCTCTCTCCTCCCCTTCAACCTTCCCCCAAGGTCCCCATGCTCCCAATTTACTCAGGAGATCTTGTCTATTTCTACTTCCCATGTAGATTAGATCTATATATGTCTCTCTTAGGGTCCTCATTGTTGTCTAGGTTCTCTGGGATTGTCAATTTGTAGGCTGGCTTTCTTTGCTTTATGTTTAAAATCCACTTACGAGTGAGTACATGTGATAATTGTCTTTTTGGGTCTGGGTTACGTTAATCAAAATGATGTTTTCTAGCTCCATCCATTTGCCTGCAAAATTCAAGATTTTTTTTAATGCAGGGGTTTCTTAATCTCAAAGGACACCCCTATGAAGGCTTTCCTGTCATTTATTACTGATTATATATATATATATATAATTTCTCTTGGAAAACCTTCAACACAGTAAGGTATACTCAAATTGCCTTTAGACTAAGACTGGAGTGTTGATAAATGACTTCCTTCACACTCTGACCCTAGTGTCCCCTACTGGGTTTTGAGGGACCTGGAGAGGATTCATTGCCCTGCTCTTCAGTATCTCTGTGGGAGAACATTTACTTCCTTGCTGGCCGCCTCCTCCTCAGCCTTCCACATTCATAAGGGAACTAATTCTATTCATGTGGGCTGCCCACGTTGTCTAACCAAGTCCCCAAAGTCCCACTTCCTAATACTGCTGCACTGGAGATGATATTCCAACACAGAAATTTTGAGCAGATCCAAGCAATCAGATGAGAGCAAACGAGGAAAACAAGAAAGTGCGTGGTGAAAGCTTTTCCACCCTCCCCTCCCACGCGTGGACAAGCCAAAAGCAGGCCTCTTGATGGTCTCCTCACCTCCTCATCACCACAAGCCTAATCACTCCTAATCACTTACCTAGAAAGTCGGCTCCCTCCGCCCTCCACAGGCAATGTGCTGCAGGAACTCTGAGGCAGGGCCTCCTGGGAGGAGGAGCCCATTATGATATAATTAAGAGTCAGGAGAATCATGTGCAGAGGGAGGGCGTCATAAAACAGCACTGTGACCCTGCTGACTTGTGAGATCTGGGTGGGGAATGGAGGATGAAGGCAGCGGGGCTTGTGGGGTACCTGTTTCAAACTGTGTCGCTGAAAAGCGCAGTGAAGAGAAGCATGATAGCTGAGGAGTAACGTAGTGCCAAAGACGTTTTTCAGATGGATACGCTCAGTAGTGGGGCATAGAAGGCAAAGCCTTGGGGTCAAAGAGCCAAGCTCTTCCTTCTCCTTGGTTTTCTTGGACCGCAAGTCTCTATCTAGGGTGTCTTCCAGTTCTGTTCTTCAACTGATGCATCTCAAGAAGACTAAATGACCGGGCAGTGTTGGCACACACCTTTACCCCAGCACTCGGGGGGCAGAGGCAGGCTAATCTACAGTCTGAGTTCCAGGATAGCCGCGTCTACACAGAGAAACACTGTCTCAAAAAAATAAAAATAAAAAAATAAAATAAAAATAAAAACAGACGAAACCATCCACAAACCACGGAAAAACAGAAAATACAAGGATAACCAGTAGAAAATGACTTCTACAAATTCATGAATTCCACAAATGTGGCCTGCCCGATAGGCAGCAGGAATGAAAAAAGTCTAACCAGAGGCCAGGAGATGCCAGCTTTTTTTAAATAAAAATTTTTCTGTGTTTTTAAAAATACATACTTTTATATCTAAGTTTGCCCTGTCTGCTGCAATAAACAGTGGTCACACAAGCTGAAGTTTTATCAGTTACATTCAGCCCAAAGGAAACCCCTGTAGAATGAACTGCAATGAACAAGCTTGTAATAGGAGACTTTTTATAAAAAGGCCAAATCATCCCCAAACTTCTAAATTTATTAAATGGCCCTTGGGTTAGACTGAGTTTGACTAGGTGTCTGGTGGAAAGGATGTTCATGAATTGAGAGAAGCTGGGCCCAGAATCTTCTCAAAACTCACATGCAGGTTGATGGCTGAGCTGAGAGGGCTTGAGAAGCTCAGGGGGTAGGGAGTCACTGGGCAACCCCCTCTTTTTCCTCCTGGTTCCTCCAGATGGGCTCTCAAACAGTGATTTCAAGACTTAACACACTGTATTTAAAGGTTCACATCACTGGCCATGTTATATTCCGGCATCTAGAGCGCCACATGGGAGATTCCCATCTTTGATGACATCAGGGGTTCTTCAGCAACACAGAGACCATCTTCTCAGTAGAGATAACTACAACATCCCATTTGGGAAGCAAGGGAAGCTTCCATAAGCCACCTCTTGACCGAATGATGGGATGTTGGGGGACCATTTGGAAACACTGTATCTTTCATGCAGAAGAGAGTGGAAGTATGTGTACCACACACAGAGCTTCATTAAAAATAAAACCCAAAGGCCTTAACCGGTGTCCCTCAACACACAGCTCAGCAGACTCTAAAGCTGGGACTGGCCATACTAATGATTGCTGGGAGAAGAAAATTAGCCTCTCTGAGGGGCATCGCTATGCGTTCATCCCACTGGGCATGAGTCTATCACTGCTGGGTGTATAGAAGCCACATGACTGAAGTGTAACAAGCAATTATTTGCTGAAGATAATAGAATGCAATGTATCTTTAAAATAAAAGTAGCAGTCTGGAGGCAGGGCACAGTTAACAAAATGCCTGCTGCTTATGCTGCTGCTCCCTTGTCAGATCCTCCAACTGCATCTCACAGCCCAGCCCCGGAGAGACCTCACCATGTCATAATTCTTGCCAACAGCCTCAAATCCTCTGAAAGAAGGTTTCTCAGAGGGGATTTAAAGGCATAAATGTTTCTTATAAAATGATCTTGAAGTCAACTCATTAACGGGCTGGGGACTAGGTTCAAGGAAATAATGTATCCAAAAGCAAAACGTGGAACCCAAGAAATTATTTTATTTAACTTATTTATTTTTAATAGGTTTTAACTGAAATAGAATTACATAACTTTCCCCTTAACTTTCTTCCCTACAATCTGCCTCAGCTACCTTCCCTCAAACCCCATTTTCAGGTTGATTGCCTCTTTTACTTAAGATATATTATATACATATGTGCATATGCATTGGTATGCACAAATATATATAAATACAACTTTCTGAATCTGTTTTTGTTGGTATGTTTATGTAGTTTCAAGTTGACCACTCTGCTTTATAATAACTAATAAGAGGTCTTCCTTTATCAGTTCCAGACACAATGAACTAAGAGACACAAGCCAGAAAGAAGCTGGGGCTGGCTCCTTTGTCTTGTGTTGGGACTGAACGCATGAAGCAAAGAGGTTAGAGGGCACCGGGGGTCGCAGAGGGAGAGGCAGGAAGAGCAATGGTTGCAGGATTTCGGCCAGCACATCCTGAACAGGGATGGATGTCCATAAATCCGAGAAGCAGAAGAAAGACCCACTTCAGAGTCACTGACTGAATTTCTCAAGGATGTTAGAGTTCAACCCATGAGGGAACAAATCAAATGGCAAGCCCACACAGCCACGAGGAGGCAAGGTTTTGTATTTAAACAAAGCACTTTAATTTGGTTGAAGTTTTATACATCTTCATGGAGGAGCAGATTCTGGCTTTTTATTTTCCTCACTGGTTCTTGGTCTTCTTATTTATGTTTTCTTGCAGCACCTGACTTTAGGAAGGCCACAAGTGCCAATCTGTTTAAACCCTGAACCACATGGGCCCCAGCATATGCCTCCATTGGTGATGCAAGTTATAGGATTCTTGATTCTTTGAGTAGAGACTGAAAGATAAGAAAGAGAAACCACATATTAGAGTTGAAAGTATCATGTCAAAAATACACACCCATGTGCTAGTATCATGAACAAATTCCAGCAGGTTTTTTTTTCTGCCAAGGCTAGGATGTCTGTTTCATCAGGACTGAATCCACCTCTTGCTAGAGAGTGGTGTTGCTGCTGTAAGCAGCTGCTGGCTTTCCTAGGACCCAATGTAGAAGAGTCTGCTCCATACCTGAATGACGAGAGCTCCAGGGCCACCAGGCAGGAGCTCAGCAAAGATTCTGCATTAGTCCCCAATTATTTCACAGCAGCCCTGCCTCTGCTTCTGCACACAAGCCCCCTTGTTCTAGTCTCAGACACAGCCAGTGGGGTATGAGTGTGTGTGTGTGTGTGTGTGTGTGTGTGTGTGTGTGTGTGTGTATGCATATACATGTGTGCACACACATACAGAGACCACAGGTTGGTATCACATATGTGCAGCAATTGTTCCCACCTCAGCTTTTGAGACAGGGTCTCTCACTGTGCTCAGAACTTACTGAGTAGGATTTTCTGGCTGGCCAGTGCACCCCTAAGATCCTTTCCAGTGCTGAGGTTACAGATGTGCACCAGCTTGCTCTGCTTCTGCATGGGTGCTGGGGATCTGAACTCGGGTCCTCATGCTTGCCCGGCAAGCACTTTACTCACGGAGCCAACTTCCTATCAAGGTGTTTAAACTTCCAGGTGCCTATTTTTACCAAACGATCTGACCTGAAGCTCAACATATAGGACTTGTTTAATGATAATTTGATGTCCAAATAACTTACAATGAAAAATAAAAATCAATAGTAAAAATAAATTTTTTGATAATTTCTAAAGTCTAAAATTAGGTTTTAATCTCATCCTTCCTTCTTTTCTTCCTCCCTTCCTCCCCATCTTCTTCACACTCATCTAAAGCTAGACACAGCAAGTGTTTGATATCTCTTGGTACTCAGATGCTTCTCTGCAACCAGACCCCATGAATGAAATTTGGGTTTTCTCTCTGCAATTTATGTCTAATGCAGTTTCAGGCCTTTGCTTTTTTCATCTCATTTTCTCTTATGTGGGTTTTGTTTGTTTATTTTGCTTTTTGGTTTTTCAAGACACAGGGTTTCTCTATAGCTTTGGAGCCTGTCCTGGAAATAGCTGTTGTAGACCAGGCTGGCCTTGAACTCCAAAAATCTGCCTGCCTTTGCCTCCCAAGTGCTGGGATTAAAGGTGTGCACCACCACAGCCTGGCTCTCTCTTATGTGTTTTAAGCCCTTCTTTTGGGTTTTCTATACCTTTTATTCTGTTTGCCTAATGTCAAGGGTGAAATACAGTCTTGGAGCTGGAAAGATGACTCAGCAGTTAAGGGTAGTGCATAGTGTTCCTGCAGAGAACCTGAGATCAGTTCCTAATACCCTTATCAGGCAGCCCCCAACTGCCTATAACTCCATCTCTGAGATATAATGCCCCTTTATGATTTCAAGGGTACTATACTCCTTGCACACACCAATACACATGTACACATAATTTTTTTTTAATTAACCTTCCTACAAAATACAATTAAGACAGAGTTGGGAAAGAAGAAGAGGAATAGAGATCTAAGACAGATGCAGTAAAAACAAGAGAAGTAGACAGGACATGGGAAGAGGGGAAAGGAGAGAGAGGAAGGAAAGGGAGGGAAGGGCAGAGAGAGACAGGCAGGCAGACACAGACAGACACAGGAACAGAGACAGACAGAACACAAAGAACAAGACATACAGAGACAGACAGACACACACACACAGAGAGAGAGAGAGAGAGAGAGAGAGAGAGAGAGAGAGAGAGAGAGAGAGAGAGACAGAGAGAGAGAGAGAGACAGAGACAGACAGAAAAACAGGCTCTGCCTCTCACTTCCCTTTGGAACCACCCCCATTCCCCATTCCCCTGCCTCACCTGCAAGAGGTGAGAGCAGCACCAGGAGAAACGTGAAGAGGAGGTAATGGATCCTCATGACTGAAACCTGGCGAATTGCAGAGACACAGAGGGAATCGAGCTCAGTGCCTTTTATAGGTCCAAGTGCTGGCTTCTGGGAATAACCCCAGTAATTACAGTTATGAAACACAGAGTGCCTTACCTCTCATGCCAAGGAGTGGCCCTTTGAGAGCACAGTCATTGTCACTTATGCAAATGTAGAGAGCCCCAGACAATTTCTTCCTCTACTGGAAACCAAGAGCAGCTTCCTGTCTTGTTTCTTTAGGTGTAAGGGACCCAGGCTGCCAAAGGTCACAGACTTACTGATTACAACTTGACCTTACTTGCCTGTTTCTCACGACTTTACCTTGGTCATCTTAGAGTGACAACAGGGTTAGGTCCCACTGGGAACTAATTTCACTTAGATCCATCAGGGCTTAGGCCCCCAAGCTTTTCTAGGTCAGAACACGGACCTTGTCTCATAAATTTCTCCCAGTTACTACAGAATGGTGAAATCCATTTGTTGCTTAAAATAACCGCCAGCAATTCACCAACCACCCAATGTGATGGGCATGGAGTCAGATCGATGTGGTAGTTCCTCTTACAGAGAAAGTAATGAGTTGGAAACATTTTACCTGGACATGTGTCCCTTGGCCCACCTAGAACAAAGCCAGAGAATGACTGGTTCTGGCCACCAAGTGATGTGCAACTCCATGGGACTTGATAGTTACTGGGTCTGTGATTCTCAGCTTTCTGAGACAGGGAATATCAGTGGTGGAATTGAGGTTTGGATTCCTTTATGAGACTTTATGACAGTGGGATTCCAGTCCTTCCCACCTCCTCCCTGTTGGTCTTGGTTCTGAGGGAGGCCATGCGGCTCGGGCCTGAGTGAGCTCTCGTGTGACTCCCAGAACCCAGTTGGTCATTTTTAACCTATAGAAGCATTGACAGTGTTTAGGACATAGCCCATGCCGAAGACTGAGAGATGGGATTTTCTAAGGGAAAAGAGGTTTCATCAATCATGAATTCTTCCTCTCTACAGGGACTTTAAACAAATAAGCAGATAGGCAGAAATATAATTTAAGGTCAGTTTTGACAAAGGCTGTTATGGGGTTTCCTGCAAAGGGATTGGCAAATCTGCAGAGTGGGGAATTTAGACACACGGTAGGCTGCTCCATTTCCTCCGCTGCTGTAATTTGAAAACCCATGGAACTGGGCTGCGTAGGGCACACAATAGAGATTTTAAAAGATCATACACAGCAAGTATGCAGAGTTGTGGAGTACTGTGTACTATTTCAACATATGCTTACAGTGTGTAATGATCAAATTGGGGTAATCACCATATCCATCACTTCAAATTGCATGATGTTACTATACTGAGTCGAGCCTCCATCCCCCCCCCTCCCCGTAGCTATTTTTTTTTTAACTTTTCATCCAATGAGTTTATTTGGGTTCCTTATATGAGTATGAGTGAGGGGCTACTTTAAATATTCAGTAGCTCATTAGCTCCAGTGACACCACTATCCAATAGATTCAGTGGAAACCAGGACTTCATTCGCCTATGTTTTTTTTTAAACCACCAGCTAACTTCTCACTACACCCCTCTCCGCATCCATGCTTTTCTCTGGTTATTATTAACCTACTCTGTCATTAAAGGTGTTCTTAAAGGTAGCCGGTGATTGCCATGTAATGATGGTTTGGTCCAAAGAGGAAGTTTCTGATGAATCAGGGAAGGACAGGGCTGGGTTAGGATGCTCTTGCAAATTATAAACAAATTCCTATCTGGGGCTGGAGGATAGCCATATGACGTCATGCCCCTTGTCAGGACTTCTTTTCCCCGTGTGATGCATGCATGCAGCACTAAAAAGCATGCTCACTCATCCCCGACACTAAGAGTATTTCTTCTGGGCCAAGGAAGCACATATAAAAACTGAATACAAAAAGGTAATTTCTCTAAATGTGCAGCCTGAATTAACACCCCATCCCTTTCTATTTGCCTTATTTCTCTCACTTTTGACAGTAAAAATTAAACATATTAGTTTTTTATCAAGGTGGCAAAATACTTTTGACAAATCAACTTTGATGGAAGGAAGAAATGTTATGTCAGCTCAAGGCTCAGATATTCAGTCCAGGGTCAGTTGGCTCCACTGTGTGTGGTCTTTCATGAGCCAGGACATCATGGCAAGGAGCATGTGGTGGGGTAAATTCACCCACCTCCTGGAAGCAGGAGGGAGGGGTCTGGAGTACCAATACCCATTGATATGGTGCATGTCCAAAGACCTAGCTTACTTCTACTAGACTTACTGGCTAGAGGACCCACCATCTCCCAGAGGAGTCTCAGGCTAACCATACTTTAACACACAGCCTTTGGTGTATATTTAGGATCTCAGTCAACCGGGTGTGGCCATGAATAGACATAATTCCACATACCCAGGAGGCTGAGGCAGGAGGACCAGAAGTTCAAAGCCCATTTGAGTTATATAAGACTTTGAGGCTCTTTCTCTTCCGGTCGCAGGCGCTGTGGGAGCCGCTGATTACCGTCCAGCCATGGCCAAGTCCAAGAACCACACCACACAGAACCAGTCCAGGAAATGGCACACAAACGGCATCAAGAAACCCCGGTCAGGGTGCTGGAGAGATGGCTCAGAGGTTAAGAGCATTGCCTGCTCTTCCAAAGGTCCTGAGTTCAATTCCCAGCAACCACATGGTGGCTCACAACCATCTGTAATGGGGTCTGGTGCCCTCTTCTGGCCTGCAGGCATACACACAAACAGAATATTGTATACATAATAAATAAATAAATATTAAAAAAAAAAAAAAAAGAAACCCCGGTCACAAAGATACGAATCTCTCAAGGGGGTTGACCCCAAGTTCCTGAGGAACATGCGCTTTGCCAAGAAGCACAACAAGAAAGGCCTGAAGAAGATGCAGGCAAATAATGCAAAGGCCATGAGCGCACGTGCAGAGGCCATCAAGGCCCTGGTGAAGCCCCAGGTGGTGAAGCCCAAGGTGCCAAAGGGCCCCAGCCGCAAACTCACCCGTCTGGCTTTAATTGCTCACTCCAAGTTTGGGAAGCGGATTAGAAGCTACATGGCCAGGGGTCATAGGCTCCAAAAAACAAAGCCCAAGGTTCAAGCCAAGGAAGAGGCCTCAGCTGCAGCTCAGGCTCCCAAAGGTGCCCAGGCCCCCATGAAGGCCCCATAAAAAAGGTCTCAGTATGCCAATGTGAAGACAGATGGACTGGTGTCAACACCTACACAGTATTTGCAGATGTTCAGGACCTTATGCTGTTTTTACAAATAAACTTGAGGCAAGTTCTGTTAAAAAAATAAAAATAAAAAAAAAATAAAAACTTTGAGGTCAGCCTGAACACCTTAGAGAAACCGTGTCTCAAACCAGAGTCGGGAAAAAGGAGCTGTGTACAAGGAATTCTGGTTAAAAGAGCACTTGACTAGCACAGACAAGACTCGTGGTTCACTCCCTAGCATCATGGGAAAAAATTTCAAAAGTCCTGCATCACAGAACTTCATTAAACTTTTTTCTAATTATCTCATCATATGTTGAGAAAATTCCCTCACACATACAGTCCTATTTGTATACACAAAGAAGTATGCCTTAATATAGTTTAGTATACATTGAGCCTATAATTCATGTTCCTAGAGAAGCTAAATAAGGTGAATCCAAAGACAAACACATAGGCATCCTCAGGAATATTAACCTTCATCAGGCGATGAAAGGAGACAGAGACAGAGACCCACACGGGAGCACCGGACAGAAATCTCAAGGTCCAAATCAGGAGCAGAAGGAGACGGAGCACGAGCAAGGAACTCAGGACCACGAGGGGTGCACCCACACACTAAGACAATGGGGATGTTCTATTGGGATCTCACCAAGGCCAGCTGGCCTAGGTCTGAAAAAGCATGGGATAAATCCAGACTAGCTGAACATAGCGGACAATGAGGAATACTGAGAACTCAAGAACAATTGCAGTGGGTTTTTGATCCTACTGCACGTACTGGCTTTGTGGGAGCCTAGGCAGTTTGAATGCTCACCTTAGGAGACCTGGATAGAGGTGGGCAGTCCTTGGGCTTCCCACAGGTCAGGGAACCCTGATTGCTCTTCGAGCAGATGAGGGGGGGGGGGGACTTGATCGGGGGAGGGGGAGGGAAATGGGAAGCGGTTGTGGGGACGAGGCAGAAATTCTTAATAAATAAATAAATTAAAATAAAAAAATAAAAAAAAAAAAAAAAAAATATAGTTTAGTATCTGGTCAATACTCTTAAGCCTTCCATTATTACAAGTAGGATCTCAATAGCTATTGATTTTTTTTTCCTGGATCATTTTAAATCTAAACACACGTTTTAAGTTAGGTTAGTGTGACTATTTATTTGTAGACTTCTGTTTTTGTCTTGCTTTTGAGCAAGCAATCTTAAGGCATTCTTACAATAAAGGGGAGAGGCTTTATTGGGCTTAGAGGTTGAGTGAAGTTAGTGGATCCCACGTTAGTATGCTTAGCCTTAACTCCTTTCCCAGTGACTCATCTGCTTCCAATTACTCTTAAAGCAACATGCTCTCTTTTAAAGCCCCACCCATCCCAGTGTGAATTTCCCATAAAGTCCTGTTGCAATCCCAGGGAGCAGCCAGCCGCACTTTCCTAGATGATCATCCCTGTCCTGTTTTAAACTCGGTGAATGAGTGAGGCCTTGATAGAAAGGAGGCAAAGGTGACCTGAAATACCCACACAGGAGCGGGGCATTAACCTTCCCTACCTCCTTCAAGGACAAATGCCTCAAGGACATGATGGCATCAGCCTGGCTGTTGAGGACAGCGGCCTGAATGTCCCATCAAGAACTCTTGTCCCTGAGGTTTGTACTTATTGACAAGGGCTAAGGTAACTTCTTGTGGCTGTGTTCATCCTACTGACTGAATCCATCCACTTGAAAGAGACCTCCAGAAGGGATTTTTCCCCCAAAGAATGACAATTCTGCCTCAGCCTAGAGGACACACACCACCATAATCAAGGGCCCCTCACCACTACCTGGAGATGAGCATAGCTTCTGGAGTGAGTTCAAGTGTAAACCTAAACAAGGTTTAGTTTCCTAAGAGCTTCAT